AATGAATGAATGAATGAATGAATGAATGAATGAATGAATGAATGAATGAATGAATTCCATCCTAGGAAAATGTTGGTGGATGGGTGTTAAGAGAAACTGACGGGCAAACCTATCAATGCCTCTTAGTCATAACTGCCAACTGGAATCTCTGTTGTTCAGAGGCGGTATATCCTAAACATGGATATCAACAGGCAAGCTTTCTAGAGATGCGGCTGCCCAGTGTTGTGGATAAAAAACAGGGCTAGATAGACTTCAGTCTGACTCACTACTGAATAGGCTTAATTTCTTTGCACCAAAAAGGCCACCCTGCTACAGAGCAAATTGACACAATCAGCTGAGTAAATCACATGGGTCCTTGGACCATACGACGCTTGCTTGCAGACAGGGACTTACCCAACAGATTGGTCTTTTATCTAACAATAAAATTCACTGGAAACAAAAAGCTAATCTCCCAGGAATAAAGCTAGGTTACGTTCTTTCTTGGCTCAGTTTTCTAACTGCATGAGTGTATTTACTTTATTTTCACACAAAGGAACAATCAACCACAACTTTCACAGAAATTTTATGAAGACACCATGAGGTTCGGTTCATTTCTACAGGATGGGGCAGGGGAGAATAAGAACCACCAGCACCATCCCTAAAATTGAGGTTCCTATCCCCTTCCTGATCAATTTAAAACACAAAACATAAGACTCACCTATCTACATCTAGCTTGCTTCATCGGACACAGTAAAGGATAGGTTGCTCAATTTACCATAGTCTCCTTCCTGTGCAAATGAGTTGGCTTAACTTGAATCTCAGGAAATATGGATTTCGAGATGATTGCCAAACATGTCTGTCTGCCTACTCCTTGTTTAGTCATAAAAACATTAGCCTTTTCTTTAATCCGAAAGAGTCATTCCATCTCCTCAGCAGATCTTTCAGTATTATATTTTATTTATTTATTTAAATTTATATGCCACCCATCTCCCCAGATGGGTGGCATATAAATTATGTATCATCTTCTATATTATTATAGAAAGGCTCTTTTGAACTGGCAAAGAATCTTTTAAGGAAATACTATTGAAGCATCTATTTACTTGACCATAAGAATCTTGCTAGCAACAGCACATTCTATCTCAGGTACCATAAATTTGCTGAGCCCTCCTGGAAAACTATTTATGTCAGCGTCCTGAAATCTGAAATTATATTTTTAAAGGATCTTTTGAAAAAACAATTTCCTTTCTATAAATCCAGGGACACAGCTGCTCATGTGTCATCTATGTGGCAAATAACTAGTTATGTCTGTAAATTAAGTAAGCCTGTGTGTAAGATATGTTTATTTTATTCTACAAATTAGGCTAGTCATCTACGCTTTTTTTTTTTTTAAAATCTGTGTATTTGTCTATTAAAAAACACCTTCCTTGTTTGAAGAGTTCTGGGCTGGTGAATAGCAGAAGCTTCAAGTACCGCCTGATAAAACTCTGGGATGAAAGAAACTATCTTATATAGTTATCAGATGATTGATCCACCAAGGTGAGTACTTTTTACATGATTTTCTCATAATCAGTTGTCTTTGGGAGATACTGACTACAACTTGCTTCATCTCCCAGTAGCCAAGTTAGGGAAGACTGTCCTACTTTGACTAACAGGGTCTCTTTGGAGTTTCAGAGGATTTTTTTTTCAGCCCTTCCTGGGAGTTGGAACTGGGAGGAATATACTTGGACAGAAAGTGTTAAAAGAC